GCTGTCCAGCTACCCCGGTCACGGAGGCCGACTGGATGAATGGGTGACAGACCGGAGCACAAAGTCCAAGCTACGCACTGTAATTAGTACAGAGATTACGGTCATTCATTCAGATACTGATCACTGACGGAGAACGTTCCTCATTCTCATTTTTTCACAGAACAGGGGGCCTCTTATGGTATCTGCGTAACATTTTCATTTTCATTGAGCACCATTATCCTTAACACCAGTGCTCAGCTGCAGATCGAGCGCCGGCTGGAGACCCTTCTTCTGGCTCATTAGTATCTCAGGCTCCGGGTCCTGTCATTCCCATCGCTGTCATCCCGTTTCTGTCTGTCTGTCTCTGAGACCTGACTCTGACTCTCTCCTCCCGGCTCAGGCCACCACCTCTCCTGCCCGCCCCCGAGCACGGCTGTAGCAGCCCAGATCTACGCACCTGGACTGTTCCCTAAGGACCAGCGTCCAGAAGAGGTGCCGTTCCGTGACCTGCCAGTCCCTTCTCCTTGTGTAACTCCTGGGTCCCGGGTGTTACCAGACTGGACCTGGGGCCACACTTCTCCAGCCCGACACACACTCAGGGACAGAGCCCGGGGAGCTCATTCTTCCCTCGGAATTCCACCCCGACTTTTTATTTCTTTCCAAGTAGATGGATCGGGGAGGAAGCTAAATGCCTTCACGGAGAAGATCAAGATCTTTGAGAAAAGTCTTGGCCGCCCATGGCACACTCATGTGCTATGCGTCCCACCCTCACCTGCCAACTGCCAACATGCCCTGGAGCATTCATCCCTGACTCTCCCACGGTCACGTGGGGCGACGGCTTGTTAGGGGATGTGGTGCAGCTCGCTGCTTAAGCCCGGGCACGGTGGGCTGGCTACTGCTCACGGCTCTGCCAGCCCTCGAATGTGGCTGGTGGGCTGGGCAAAGGATGAGGGGTGTCCACACAGACGCGCCCCCATCTCCCAGAGAAGAAGGTGGGAGCAAGACCTGTCTCATGAACATCTCCTCACCCTCCTCGTCTCTCTCTCTCTGCCTCTGAAACACAAGATGTGGTCAGCAGTTCCCGGTAAACTGTGGTCTTTGCAAATAGCGTTTGTAAAAGGCTACAGGCTACAGAGAAGAGTCACTTCACAGAACAACTAACCTACAGTATCACAGGAGAGGCAAGTCGCTGCTAATGTTTTAAGTGTCACAAATAGCTCTCCCTGGAGTAAACTGCATGCATCCTAAGACTAAACTCCCCTAGAGGGGATGGTAGGTCGGAGGACATCAATGTGGGAGGAGAAGGATGCACACTCGTCTTCAGAAAGATGCTCTATCCTGCTGACAGCAGCGCCTGAGTCTGTCTCTATAACACAGGGTAACGATGTAACATAATGTGGTGGGGGGGGGGAGGGGGGTCACACAGTACCATTGAGGTCTCATTGTTACAATTGGCATTCTTTGTTAGTAACAAACTTACACACTTTCTGTACCTTTATTAGCTCATGTATTTCTACTTTCTGGATCCCTTTCTTCATGGCATTGCATTTTTTAAATAAGAGCTAGTGTTCATATATGTGGGTGTATGACATATGTGCCTATATATGCATATATGCAAACACACATATACGATTTAGAGTATTCATTCCAATGTCCCAGTCTTTTCTGTGACTTTTTTCTCTCCTGTCTACAGTTTACTGGGTTTTTCTGTCCAGATATTTCCCCTTGTTAGCGCTGTTTTTATATGTAATTTTATAACCCATTTAGAGCCGCATTAAAACATCAATGTTGAAGCAATGGGATATACAGTGCACTAAAAAGAGAATCTGTCATTTTAGTTTCCATTAAACTTTTAAGAAATCACTTCATTCCTTGAAGATTATTGGAAGCGTATCGCCAGTGTCTTCGTTGTGATTATTTCCGGCTCATTCCCCTCCCCCCTCCCCCCTCCCCCACCACACCACACCTGACAGACCGTGTACCTGTCACGCACACTGTTGGAAATCCACGTGGTAGTAAAATACGCTAACTTTCCTAATACCACCTGGCGAATGACGGCGATAGTTCTGCAATTTATCACTGGCCGTAAGCGCACCGAGTTGTTAAAATCGTGGAAACAAACACGAAACCCGTGGAGCACAAGGAGACCATTTTCCGGGCAAGTTTTGAGACCGCGGCGGTTCCCAGCCTGAGGACAGGCTGACCCAGGGGAGCTGGGGTCAGAGCTGACCCCCCAGGAGTGCGGACCCTGAGAGAGGCCCTGTGTCCGGAAGGAGGCGCCACCAGGAGCCTGTACTCTGAGCAGGAAAGTCTGAGGCAGAGAAGTGAGGACATCTGTGTGTCCCCAGGGGCTGCTGCAAATAACGTCGCCTGATCCATTATCTCGACGTTCTTAAAATCCCCTCACACACGACACCTGCTTCACCGTTTGCCCCAAAGGCTTGTTCTTAGCAGCCAGCGGCCCTTTCGAACCAGAAGACATCTTTGGCGCATTTTCGCTCCAAACCCTGCAAAAGTCCCAGTTCACTTGCTGTGAAGACATTCCTGTGATCCCTCGTGGCCCCGCTGCCCATCGTCTGCCCAACCCCCTCCCACCACGTTTTCAGCCTCCCCAATGGCTCATACTCATGTCAAGCTCACCCCAACGCAGGCTGTTCCCTCTGCTGGAATGTCCCGTCCCCAGACAGCCCCCCAGCGGGATCCCTCACCTGCTCCCAGCTTTGCCCAAAAGGTCTCTTCCCAGTGAGCCTGCCCCCTCACGCTACGCACAGCGTGACGGGCCCCTTTGCCTCCGAGCGCCTTTGTTGTCGGCCAGGCCTGTTTTCCACCACTGATCACTGTCTACCGCCCACATCACTCACTCATGTGCCCCACCTTTTGTTAGGGTTTGCTTCTCCCCGTAGTGTACACCCTCAAGGACAGAGATCTTTATTTTGTTCCTCAAGGTTTGCCAGGTGCCAAAAACAGTTCCTTGCACACAGTAGGTGCTTAGGGAATGTTTATTGAAATGAGACAATGAATAAATAAAGGAAGGTAAATTAGTGCATCTGCTAATTTAATATGTAGGTGCATGGTACCTGGTGAAGATGGGTAATTTGAGGGGCTGGCATAAAACTTCACCATTTCACACAGCACTTTAACACGGTGCGAATGTTTCCCACATTAAAGATGTATGTCTCAGGCATCGCTGAAGCAGACCCTCCTGGGTGTGTATGTGTGTGGGGAGCGGGTGGGGTGGTGAGGGAGGTTGACATTATTTGCAGAACTATGTGCTTGGCAATGCCAGGGACCGGAATGCCCTCTGTGCGATGCCAAGCCACCGGGCAGTAAATCTCTGTTGGATGAAGGGAGCGTTAAAAGTGCTCACATGGTGCTTGGCTGAGCCACGTTCTGAGCGGAAACCTGTGTCTGCCGCGTCTCTATACGGAGTATCCGGAGACGTGAGGCCACGGAGGGCCGAGACCCGCACAGCCGTACAGCGTACAGCATGGCGGGGGTGGGTGTGGGCAGTGCCATGGAGGTCCTGGGCCACACTAACAAGATGGGAAAGCCGCGGCTACACAGGCCTGGGGAAGGGTGTGGCCACGGTGGGAGCTCACCACCTCCCCGGGCACGGGAAGCCTCTGCCCCTCTTGGCTGGAGTAGCTGCTAGGAGCACGCCCATGCTGGGCTCAGCCTCGAAAGCACTTCTCCCCCAGGCGGAGGGCCCGCCCCGGCCCCAGGGCGAGGGCTCACGCCCTTCTATCCTGAGCCCGGGCTGCTGCTGCCTAGACTCCTCCTCTAGGAATCTGATTGATTCGGAGCGAGAGTGTTTTGTGTGGCCCTCTCCCCCCGAAAGCCCTAATTCTGGCTTTCCTAACTCAAGCAGGGTACAGGAAATGGCTTTATTCTCGTCAAAATACTCCCATGTTTTGAAAGTCAAAGCACCATTAATGACGTCAGGGTATTCCGATTTCCTTCCACCACCCCTTCCCCCCCACCGAGCCTCAACCTCTCCCCCACCACTGCCACCCCAACCGCGGTCAGCCTTGCCCTGCAAGTCTGCCACCGCACAACCTCAGGAAGCGGCCCTGGCAGCTGCCCCCAGAGGGGCCAACCCTCTGGCCACCAGCACGGCTGGGCCGAAGCGGGGAGGCCTGGCTGCAGCTTTGGCTCAGCACGCGGTGCCCGGAGCCTCTGCCCCCCAGTCCTGGGAGCCATCCTTCCTGGTCAGGAGGGTGTCCTGGCACAAACCACACTCCAGGAACACCCCACTCTCCTGGCCTGCCGCAGTCTTGACTCTGGGAACCTAAAAGCAAATGCTCCTTGCCCGGCCGGCGTGGCTCAGTGGCTGAGCGTCAACCTATGAGCCAGGAGCTCACAGTTCCATTCCTGGTCAGGACACATGCCCAGGTTGCAGGCTCCATGCCCTGTGGGGGGCGTGCAGGAGGCAGCCTATCAATGACTCTCTCTCTCTCATCACTGATGTTGCCGTCCTTCTCTCCCTCTCCCTTCCTCTCTGAAATCAATTAAAAAATATATAAAAAAGCAACACCCCTCCGGTACTTATTCATCTGCTGTGACCAAAGGACAGCCCCTTCCAGTCCAAGTGTGCTCACCAAGGACAGTCCACTAGGGCTGCGGGTCCCAGGAAGCCGGGACGGAGCGGGGCCCGGGGCGTGGACACAGCCTGTCACTCTCACCGACGTCATATCTGCAGCTGCCTGAGGAAATGGAATTTCACGCCTTCGCTTGAATGCAGCCTTTATTGGACACAGAAAAGTAAATAACAGCCCATAAACTGTTTGCTGATACAGGAACCGAAGGTCTGCCGATAGCACACCCGCTGAGGAGGCATTCATGCGACGCCCAGAATAAAAATGAGAATTAAATGTCAACATTCATCTTATCTCCTAAGAATAAAGGCATATGGGACAATGAGCACGTCCCTCTGTTATCTGTTTATTTATTTGTTATCTCGAAAGAAAGCTGTTTGCAGATTGGGACAAGTGGTCGAACAGCGCAAACAAGTTGGGTGATAATCAGACCCGGTCAGCAAACACTCTGCGGCTTCCCTCCGCAGGGATGTGGCCAAAGCGCCAGCGCTGCCCAGCGAGGCCCGGAGACAGAGGAGAGGGCAGGGCAGCAGGCAGCACCTGCCGGGGCTTAGGGGTAACCTGGACGATCGTGACATCACACACCAGGGAGAGACGGCGCTCAGAAATCCTGCCACATGACTGAACGCCCAGCTTCTGCACAAGGCTGAGTTCCTTCTCACCTGCAGATGCCACACCAGACTCAGGTCAGAGTCAAGACCCTCCCAGGGTGCCCGGCCGGTATGGCTCAGTGGTTGAACATCAGCCTATGAACCAGGAGATCAGGGTTTGATTCTCGGTCAGAGGACAATGCCGGGTTGCAGGCTCCATCCCCAGTATGGGGCATGCATGAGGCAGCCAATCAATGATTCTCTCTCCCCACTGATGTTTCTATATACTTCTCCCTCTCCTTTCCTCTCTGAAATTAAAATATATATATTTTTTTTTTTTAAAGACGTTGGGCTCCTGATTGCCCTCAGAAGGGACGGGGCCTTCAAGAACCTTCCCAGAACATGGAGGATGACATCCCGGCCAGATGGGCAACAGAGAACAGACTACGATGATCCCCGGGAGCCCCGGGAGCCCCGGGATGGGGGCAGGTGAGTCAGAGAGAGAAGCGAAAAGGAAAAGGACAAATGCTGCATCCACAGGTGAGCAGATGCCCCAGGTGCCACAGGCAGAGCAGATGGTGACCGAGGGCAGACAGGCATGCTCAGGGGCAAAGGGCCCCTTCCAACTCAATACACTTTGAAAACACAGGTCCAGAGGCCTCCCAGGATGTGGGGGAAAATCAGAGACACAAAAGATGAGAGCAAATAACAACACACGAGGGGGGACGATCCACAATGGCTGCCAGCCTCCTGCTGCCACCCCAGAAACACAGCATCCCCACGGGGGAGGAGATGACATACAATATGTTTGTAATTGATGTAAAGGTCATGTGAATACATCATACTCTCTTACATGTAATTTCTCTCACACTACATGTATTCACATTATCCTCTATAGGGTACATGTTGTAATACAAAGTATAACGTGTAGCACAATATAAAATGCAATCTGTAATCTATACTCACAGCACATGTGTGTGTACGTCTGAGTGTGTGTGTGAATAAGAGAATTTCCCAGCAGTAGAGAACAATGAATCTTTGTACTGAAAAGGCCCACAGACTTTTCCCCAGAATTAATATTTTTAAACGTGTAGCTACCATCAGAACATCCCTGTAGATCAAAGATAAACCTGGTGCCCTCACCATAGTGTCTTTCCAGAAAGAAAACACACCTGTGATCTCACACGGGCTGGAGTGCGCCCTTCCCTCCGCGAGTCCCGATTTTAGAAGACGGGGAGAGCAATTCCTTAAGAGAAAAACAACTCACGTCCATATTGTGTAAACTTGACAACCTATCTGTCAAGTTTGCAGGCAAATGAGAATTTTAAACATCAAAGAGACTGGAATTTCCTTTTATTGGGACATTACGGTAGCAGATGCTCCAGGCAAGTGTGGCTGGGATAGGAGTGGAGACGCCGAACCCCGAGACGTGGCTGTCAGCCAGCAGACGCCGCCCGCATGGCAGCTGCCGGGATGAAGGAGGGATGATTCGGGAAGATGGATGCTTTGAGGAACGAAGGTCCTCGGGGGCTGGGGTGGGGGGAGAGAAGAGGAACTGAACGGAAAGGTGCCGAGAGGAATCTGAAGAACATCCTGGTGACACACAAGAGCACAGAGTTGGGAACAACCGAAAGGAGACGGGAGGAAGCCCTGGCCTCAGCTGCTGAGGGTTAACAATGAGGCGAGTGAAGGTGTCCGCTGGGTTCTGGTGCCAAGCGTGGTCCTGAGGTTGGGACTCTCATGGGACAGCACTTATCAATATTAATGAAATCTAATTAATATTAATGACATCTAAATTCATGTCACAATCTCGCCGGTCGGTGTGGCTCAGCGGTTGAGCATTGACCCATGAGCCAAGAGGTCGCCGGTTCAATTCCCAGTCAGGGCACATGCCGGGTTCAACCCCCAGTAGGGGGCGTGCAGGAGGCAGCCTGTCAATGATGTTTCTCTCTCATCATTGATGTTTCTATCTCCCTTCTTCTCTCTCTAAAAATCAATACAAACATATTTAAAAAAAAAAAAAAATGTCACAATCTGAACATGCTTTCCCTCCATGACTTCATAGACTAAGGGACTAAGGGGCTCAGATGGCCACCGCCCCGCCCGCTCGGCTGCTGAACTGGTCTCCATGCCAGCCCCGGGGTGAGGCTGGGAATCACAAAACCTGGCACATCTCCCTTCTCCTGAGCACAGGAGGGTCACTGTCTTCCTGCCCAAGGACACTCCGGCCTTGGGGCGACAGCGTGGCGGAGCTGGGGTGACCACAGGCTGAGGCGGGTTCTGCAGGGACCAGGATGGGTTCCGCTGGTGGGCATGGGGTGGAGAGAAACCCCACCAGGGCCGGTTCTCAGGCACCTGGAACCAGCAAGCTCCGCCCCAGAGACGGGGCCACCCTGTGGTGGCATCGCTGTCAATCACGCCGGGCCCAGGCCTGGCACTGAGCCTGACTTCAGTCCCATCCTCCCCGCGGAAGAACCCGAACTTCTCAGAACACATCTGCGCTGAGGAAGGGCTGGCCGGCCTCCCACACTCTCTCAGGGGCGTCGGCGGCATCACCGCCACCAGCGTGCGGAGCAGGGACCGCGACCCCACCGCGTCCGGGAGAGAGTGTCGGAGAAACATAATTAAAGGGTCGCGAGGACGGAGGCTGAGGGAGCCGTGCTAATTGTAGTGTGTAATCCGCCAGGCGGTCCTGCCAAGCCTAACCTCCTCGGAATTCTCTGGACTCGTCTCTGATTAATTATTTTTGGAAATAACAGCCAACATCATAGCTTGCTAATAGGCTTAAAATAATAAATTGGGGAAACACCGAGAGGTTTACGCTGGCTTCGGCTAAGCACCCACTGTGACCTCACTGTGCAGGGGGTGCCTCCTCCTTGATGTGCGTGCTCGCCCCACGGAATCACGCCTCTCCAAGTCAGCAGCCATTCCGCCCAGAGGACACGCGCCTCCAAGGGCAATGGCCCGACCAGAGGTGGGGCTTCTGAGGCGGCCGTGGGGAGTCATTCTGGCGAATAGTTAAACCTGGTGCCCTAGTGAAGAGCCGGTCTGAGGTCAGCCTTGATAGAAGGGATGCAGTGTGTGCGTGTGTGTGTGTGTGTGCATATGTATGCATGCGTGTGTGTGCATGTGTATGCATGTGTGCATGTGCATGTGTGCGCGCACGTGCATGCGTACATGTTGTGAAATTGGTGAGACATTCCCGGGCCCTCCCAGTGTGAGAAGGGGGCTGTGCTCCTTGGGCTGCGAGAGGCGTCAGGACCGCTGCCCAGGACCCAGAGGGAAGCCTGGGGGTGGAGTCCCCATGGCAGGTGGTGTGCAGACTGAGGGTGCTGCCTGTCAGCATCACCCCGTGCTTTGGTTGGTCTGCGCCCCATGGGCACAGTGTTACTTCAAGCCCCTGGTTGCACGTTTCTGAAGCCCAGCTGTCAGGCCAGTGAGCATGGCTTGCGTGTGAGCTCACGTCTGTCCACTACTCGCGTGTGAGGGCTAGGGAGCGAGGCCTGTGCATGTGGAAAGAACATCAGCACGTTCTTGCCCACGATTACCACATTTTGAAACGTGTGTAGAAGCAGCAGCACCCACTCAGCCTGGCCTGTGTTTATCCGCTTCTCGCCCCTCAAGGACCTCAACCACCAACAGGACACCTGCCCGGGTGAGCCCCTCGGTATAGAAACAAGGCCAGGTGTATGTGACACAGGCGATCACAACCGGAAATGACACCAGATCCAGCGACAGGGATGCACATGAGCGGAGACGAGGCCTCAAGCCCCAGCAGACGCCACAGCGGGTTTCAGCACTGATTCTCCGACGCCGCCCGCCATCCATCCTGATCCACCGCGGGCTGGGCCCTCACGCTTCTCCCGATGGTTCTCCAATCCGCCTCCCTCTGACCCCCCACGGCACAGCACCTGTCACCAGCGCCCCGCGTGGCCCAGTCACCTGACAACACACCCAGCCCACGCACTGACCCTCACACTCGGGAGCGCACACGTGTGCAGATGTGCATGCTCCCACGGGCACACGGGTTTAGTTGGGGTGACAGATTCTCTTTCTGCAGGTCCCCGTAGTCCAGTGATGGCGAACCTTTTGAGCTTGGCGTGTCAGCATTTTGAAAAACCCTAACTTAACTCTGGTGCCGTGTCCCATATAGAAATTTTTTGATATTTGCAACCATAGTAACACAAAGACTTATATTTTTGATATTTATTTTATCTATTTAAATGCCATTTAACAAAGAAAAATCAACCAAAAAAATGAGTTCGCGTGTCACCTCTGACACACGTGTCATAGGTTCGCCATCACTGCTTAGTCGCATCCTGGGTTCACCTCTCACAGGGAATGAACCGTTCTCAGGAGGGCCAGGTCCTGGGCGGAGGCACAGGTATAAACAAATGCGACACCAACGTGAAGGGGACGGCCTTACAGCCGGAAGCACGGGCGGGAATGGCTTTGCGAAGACACCTCGTTTTGAGCAGGAAAAAGGCCATCACAGAAGAACGCATGAACTCTGATTACACTGACGCAAAAGGCAGAAAAGCCCAGCTGCAGCGATTGCTAGAGCCGCACACACCTGGGCGCACGAGGTCATGGCACCCGCAGGGAGCGACTGTCCCTGGCCTGCAGGAGCCGGCGCTCCCTGCATCAGGGCAGGGAAATGCCCCTTCCTTAGGCTCAGCGGGACGTCTCGGGCCTGTTGTCTAGCATTCTGTCCACGTGGCACACACACGTGCATGCTGTTAACGTGCGTGATGCGTTTCCAAGTTCCTTTCCAACAGCGGATGGAAGCTAACAGGGGAGATGGCTAATGCCGAGCCCGGAGTTCCCTCCGCGGAATGGAGCCCGGTGGGCAGATACCACGGAATGGAGCCCGGTGGGCAGATACCACGGAATGGAGCCCGGTGGGCAGATACGAGCAGAGGAGGTGGGTGAGCAAGAGCAGACTCCCCTCCTGCCAAGCCCTTTGGATTCCAACCAGGGGCTCCCCGTTTAGGAAACTCTGCACCTTACACGCCTAAGGTGCACGCATCTCTCTCTCCCTCCCTTCCTCTCTCTCTCTGAAATCAACAAAAACACCTCCTCGGTGAGGAGCAAAGAAGTGTGGCAGTGCCCGCGTGGCCACGCGGAGCTCGCATCCTTAACAGGAGTTCATTTGTGGAAACAAACTAGACGAAGTCTTTTTTCCCCAGGTTGTTTAAATCCAATATTTTTCCTCCCGAGAGCTGCACAACCCCTGTATTAGACACACAGATGTCTCTCCCACAGAAGCCAGCTGAGTCTCCGACACTCTGGCGTGTAAGTAATTGTGCTGCGGTGCTATTTTTGTCGCTGAGCCTCTCTGAAATGTTAATATGTATTATGACATTCTTCATTGCAGTGGAGGAGGAAACAATTCCTGGATTTAAAAAAAAAAAGGGAAGAGGCTGCATCCGCCAGCCCCGGTGCCTGCTGCCCACCCACGGGTTTCTCCAACGAGGCGGCAACAGCCACGGATCGCTGCGCCCGCGGGTCCTGGCACGGGGCCTTCCTGACACGGTGGCTCAGTGGGTGAGTTACTGAGAGGGAGAAGCACAGTCACGCCCAGCTGCTCAGTGGCGGGACAGGAAGTTACAGTCGCCCACTCACTCGCCCTGGAGCCGAGGACAGGTGGCGAGCGGCTCCCCGGGCAGATGGCTCTGCCTCCTCGCTGTGCTGTGCTGCCTGGTAATGACTCCACGGCGGCCGCCACTCCCCCCACCTCCTCCCTTTCTCTCCTGGACGCTGACGGAATGGTGGGCAGAGGGTTAAAAATAACCACCGTCACTCTTACCCGGAGGCTCGCCTCGGCAACGTCATCGCCTCCCGCAGGCGGCGCCCACCCGGCACCTGGGCCAGGACGCCTGTGGACACTCAAGACGCGGGTCTGGCCCTAGCGAATCAAGGGGTAGAGCGTCAGCCTGCAGACTGAAGGGTCTTGGGTTCCATTATGGTCAAGGGCACCTGCCTCAGCTGCAGGCTCAATCCCACCCCTGGTTGGGGTGTGTACAAGAGGCAACCAATCGACGTGTCTCTCTCACATCGATGTTTCTCTCTGTCTCCCCCCTCCCTTCCACTCTCCCTAAAAATCATTGGGAAAATATTCTCGTGCGAGGATTAACAACAACAACAAAAACGTGACGAGTCTGAGGACCCACCCAGAGAGGGGGACAGCGGGCCCTGCTCTGCGACAAACCCTCCTGCAGGACTGTCTTTCTCCCCTCGGTAAACTTCACCTCCTCCTTACACACCAGGAAATGCACAGGGTGCCAGATACGTTTCACCCCGAAAGTGTTTGTGCTTGCACCGAAGTGCTAAGGCTTAAGGGAACAGTCAGAAATGAGGAAGGCTGTGTCGCTGAGACCCGCTTGAGGAGAAGGGAGGGGAGGTGCCCGCTGCCACCATCCCCCATCGGCCAGCTCTCCCGTCACTGCCCACACCTGCAGGTAACCCTGCTGTGCCCGCCTCCTGCTACCGCCCCTCAGACAGGAGCAGACCTGTGAGAGGGAGCATTCGAAATTCTGTGGCCCTGGCCAGTGTGCTCAGTGGGTTGAGCACTGTCCCGTGTACTGGAAGGTCATGGGGTCAGTCCCTGTCAAGGCACACACCAGGGTGCAGGTTCTATCCCCAGTCTGGGTGGGTACAGGAGCTGGCTGATCGATGTGTCTCTCTCACATCGATGTTTCTCTCTCTCTCTCTCTCTTTGCCTCCCTCAGCACCAATAAAAACATATGCTCGGGCGAGGAATTAAAAAAAAAAAAAAAAGGAAATTCTGTGAAGTCGAATAGGTTACACAACCTGCTGATGTACAAAGTGGAGAGTGGTCACGGGAGCCGGGAAGAAGCTGCCATGGAGTCACGCATGGAGCCACCGTGTGAGCGGTGCCCGGGGCAGCCCACCAGCAGATGACTGGCAGCCCAGGGCGGGGGCAGGTGTGAACAGGCTGAGGTGAGCAGGAGGCCAGCAGGCAGCAGGAAAGCACGGTCCCTGAGAAGAGCAACCGCAGGGACGAACTTGGCTGCAGGTGCCGGCCACTCGGGCAGAGGAAGCACCGCTGATGGGAGACTGGAACGGGCCATGGGTTCTTTCAACATGTGCCCTCTTTGGACTCTAAGTCACGCTACAGGCGTGTAATGTTAGCGTAACATGGCTGGCCTTCCCAGCTCCCCGCCTACTTCCTGCCAAGCCCTTCACTTACTGGGTCACTGACTCTCCCGATGAGGGCAGACCGTCCACACCCCAATACGGGTTCCCACCGTCGACGTGGAATTCTAGAATACACACCGCCGTGTCCCGACAGGCACCGCTAACATTTGGGGCCAGATAGCTCTTCACCACTGGGGGGAGGGGGTGTTGGGGGGGGCTGTCCTGGAGGTTGTAGAATGTGAGGCGGAACCACTGGTCTCTACCCACTAGAATTATATCCCAATAGCAACCCCCCCGCAAATGCCCCCAGCCATTGCCAAATGTGCCCCGGGTGGAGCACCCCCACCCCCACCCCCACCCCGGCTGAGAACCCAGCCCATTTGATAAAATGGGAGTGATCGTCTAAGTGCGAAAGGATTACTCATCGCAGCGACATTGAAGTTCGCCTTCTTTTATAAGATCAGCTTGAATGCGGAGCAAACCCCACAGAGAGCTGCACAGCCGTGGTCTATGAGCTCTGCTGTGCTAGCAACGCCGCCCTCGCTTCCTCCTCCCCTCCAGGCACCTACGTTCAGGGCGGCAGGGATTGCCCAGCAGGCGCCCGGACCTCACAGAGAATGTTCACCAGGAGAGCCAGCTCTTCAGTCTCACAGAACCTCGTTTGTGGGGCGGCTGACGGCTCGAAGCAGCCCTGACAGACACCCCTCGGTCCCTCCGTGGCCCTCAAGCCCTGCCTCTCAGGGGACGTTGTGTAAAGGTGGTCACCGGGACCCTGGCCAGTCTCACTCGCACGCCTCCCGCTGAGGCCAGGAGGAGAGAGCCAGGAAAACACTATTCGGAAGTCACATCGCCCGAAGACCCCCTCACTGAGGGCACCTGTCACCCCTGATGCTGGGGATGGGCCCCAGAGCCCCGGGACCAACCCCTGGCTGGGGTCCTTGGTCCAGACCCAGCCTCCAGCCTGCATTTCAGCTTCACCCAGGTGCCTCCTCAGTAAAGCCAGGTTTCCAGGAACGAGACCAAGGCCAATACTGTGAAGGCCATTCTAGAAGCTGCCTGAGCCCGCCCCCCCCCCCCCCCCCCCCCCCCACATCTCTTTGGCAGCGTCTGGGCGGTTATCTATGAGACAAAGCCGAGGCCTGTCTGGTTTCTTCCCGAAGGCACATTATGGCAAATGTGATTACAGAGCCTTACAAAATGCAGCGAGGAGAGATGCCTGATGAGCACCTGCTTTATAAATCCCGTGAGAGGCCCAGGAATGAAGCTGCTCCTGGTGCCATGGTGTTCGGTTCTAAGAGTAACTTCCTTGAAACACAGTAAGTCGTCCTTAATCAGCGCCAATGGATTGATGGATCTGAACCAAAATCTTGACACGGCTGTAAATTATGTTCCACTCAAGAGATTATCTCTGTGGTTTACTCATTTCCCCGTCACACCCCAAATGCATGCTCAGTAACATGCCGAAACAGACGTAAGATTTTGTTCTGGAGAGTACAATACACTGCTGACCACCTAACTTATCAACCCAGCAGAGAAAGATGGAAGCTGGAGCCCGTGTTGAGAAGGCCACGTTAGAGATACCAGAAACCAGGTGAGCAAAGCAGCACTCCCCACACTGGAGACAGCCAGGCTATCTCCCTTTCTACCTAGAACTCGTACAGGTAACAATCTAGTGATATTTGTTATTGCTGATAACCAAGCAACTAATGATACTAGTACTAGAATTCTAGCCCAGCTGGTGTGGGTCAGTCGGTGAGCATCGACCTATGAACCAGGTGGTCATGGTTCGATTCCCAGTCAGGGCACAGGCCTGGGTTGTGGGCTCGATCCCCAGTGTGGGGTGTGCAGAAGGCAGCCAATCCATGATTGTCTCTCATCATTGATGTTTCTATCTCTCTCTCCTTCTCCCTTCCTCTCTGAAATCAATAAAAATATATATTTTTTTAAAAAATTCTAGCATTATCTCCAGGGTACAATTAATATTAGAACTCTGCAGGCCCTAGCCGGTCTGGCTCAGTGGATAGAGCGTCGGCCTGCGGACTGAAGGGTCCCAGGTTCGATTCCGGTCAAGGGCATGTACCTGGGTTGTGGGCACATCCCCAGTAGGGAGTGTGCAGGAGGCAGCTGGTCGATGTTTCTCTCTCATCGATGTTTCTAACTCTCTATCCCTCTCCCTTCCTCTCTGTAAAAAATCAATAAAATATATTTTAAAAAAATATATTAGAACTCTGCAGAATTTCCGTTTGTCTTATGGAATCACACAGAAAGCTAAAATCAAAGAGCACTCGCCCAGGAGACGTGGCTTTTGCTACGTGTAAGGAAGGGACCTAACTGTGCGTTCACAGGACGGCTTGGACACATGACATCTGGTCACAGTCCACAGGCGCCCATGTACACTGTGAACACGTGTGGACAATGGAGTCGCCACCCATCAGGACCGGGCCTCCCACTTCCCTCCTGAACCCCCCGTAGGCATCGGGCATCAAGCACCGTGCAGGACACCAGGATGCCCGCCCCCTGAGCCACCTGAAGACTTTTCAGAAGAGGTCCGGCCTCCCCCCCCCCCCCACCCACGGCGCCCGGACTCAACACCTGCGTGGCCATCCCGGCCCATCAGGCTCGCCCACAGGCTCCGATGGGCTTCACAGAGCTCCTGCCGCGGTGGGCAGACCCCAACCCTGTGCTCGGAACAGGCCCAGCTGCAGGCCAGGTGGGCTCCCAGGCGCCGAGAGTCCATACGAGGCCCACGGAGTACGTTTCGTGTTGTGTTGACTGAGAGGCTTGGCTGCCTTCTGGCACGCTGCCTCTGCTTCCCTTCGTGTTCTGGTAAGAAAATCTCAAACCTCTCGGTGCCCTGTGCCCTGTGCCCTGTCCCCTACGTGTCCCCTCCCCTAACGAGTTAGCAAGGGCCGTGGCATTTCTCAAACAGAAACCGGGAGCTTTGCCCTGTGGCAGAAAATGCCCGGGTTGAGTTAACAAACCCTTGTTGAATGGACCCGAGTCCCTTTGTGTAGACGGGTGATGAGCAAACCTGTATACCGCCTGCCCCGCCCCACCCCTGGGCCAGCCTGGCTGCCCCACAGCTCACGGACCCAGGGAGCCAGGCACCTGCGGGTGGCTGGTCCCACCTCATGCTCCTTATCGTGGATTCTGGAACCGACTCAAAGCTCTGAAGGCCGTGCTCTCGCTTACCAGGGAAGGGGACAGTCCGCAGGGGTATCTTGATGGGTGCCAGCGTCAGGAAGTGGCAGGGCTGCGCGCTGGAGGGGGACGGGCCCCCAAGTCCCTCAGCGTCCACGGAGACCATGGCTGCGGCAGCGGCGGCGATGGCGATGGCGGGGCTGCTGCCCACGGGCTTAAGGCTATTGTGGCAACCACCTGTGGGAGAGGAACAGGAGGTCAGCAGGGGACACCAGGGCCACGGGAGCGAGATGCCATTTCATGATGCAACACAGGAGCACAGAACACAAGAGTGGGCCAGCCCCCTTTCTTGGGAGTGGACGCTGTGCCACTGCCCCAGAGCTAACGTGATGCGTTCTCAGATGTCCAGGTGACAGAGCACACAGCTCTGCGATGGTCGCAAGCCACCACGCGGACCGTCACCAGCTCCTCGGAGAAGGGGCCAGGATGCAGGGCCGTGCAAAGTCAGAGGTGATGCTGGGAGCAGGAGCTGAGGGGGCCCAGGGACCAGCACAAGCAGCATGGGGGGTGGGGGGATGGAGAGGGTAGCTGTGCTGGGGGTAGAGAGGGCCCTGGGCACGTGGCCGCCACCCAACTGGCCACCACCGTGGGGAGGCCCCGCCCCTCTCGGCCTGGCAGCTCCTTGTGAGGGGTCGGGCTGCAAATACAGATCCAGCTTCGATTATTCGGCATCACAGGAGAATGCGAAAGCCGACTTCTTCTCTGCTTTCTCTGTAAAGCTTAAAAAAAATTAAAAAGGGACCCTCAGTGCCTGGAATAACTGGTTTCTGAAAAACACTTTGTAGGCACCAGCTTATATTGATGGTGGAAGCCTCGTTTGCTCAGCTCTGGAAAGCAATCTGGAAATGTGTTTTCAACCAAAGGACTTGTATGCATGCATATTAGCATAATCAACGGACACAGACATTGGGGCAGTGGGGGCTTGCCCGGGGTGGGAATGGCTGGCGGGGTGGGGCAGGGGGGTTCAAGCAGGGAAAAAGGAGATATATGTAAAACTTTAGACAATAAAAATAAAATTTAAAAAAAGAAAAGAAAGCATGATCTAAACTATAAATAAATAAATAAAAATTCCATAATACCTGTTAGCAATAAATTGAGCTATCATTCTCCAAGGACAATAAAATTAATTGTGCAATGGAAAAAAAAATCTTAATACAGTTCACAACTTTTAACCTGGCATTTCCCTTCCTGTAATTCATCCACGTGCCCGATGCCTTAAGACAGAGGTTTTTAGAGAGAAACTAGAAATATCAGCGAAAGGCACAGCGCTGCATGTGCGTCCACTCAGTGAGACGGCAGCAGCCGGCGCGGTGTGGGGAGGACACTCGGTGAGCAGGGACGGCTGCGATGTGCTCAGTGAGCAAAGCAGATCACAAAACCACCTCTGCCCGCACGGCCTGCCCTTCGGCCAACGGTGCCTCGTGGCTGGCTTGATGCCACGCACGTTTAGCTCCCGGGGACAGAGCGCAGCCCACAGAAGCCCGCCTTCAGGAGCACACCTGCCCGGTGGGGAGCGCACGCGGGCTACGCTCTCCTTGTCGGTTTGCTTTATATGAAGGCCGCTGGCACCGCGGAGAAACTGGGGCAGGGAGAGAGGATGGAGAATCGGAAGGTGGGTTTCAGCTTTCAGTGGGTTGTCGGGAAGCCCTTACCGTGAGGTGTTACAAAATACACTTCCCTTCTCATCCAAGGGCCTCCCCAGGTCCAGCTATGAGTCAGAGCCCCGTCTCCCGGGCCAGGGACCCGCCACACAAACTGGCCGCGTCCACCTAACCAGCCCACCACACTAGGTGCCGTCCATTATCAGCAACCGTGACCTGCACAGCCGCGCCAGCATTGAGGCACGCGTGCGTCAGCCGATGCCGTGATGTTGTGAAAGCCCCACTCAAACGCGTCTGCTCCCACCTGCCTCGCCCTCCGGCTCCCGCAGGGGTGCTCTTCCTCTGCAGGTGTTTTCCCGGGGATTCACCCACATGTCTGCCCGGCTCAGGGACAGGTCCGCTGCCGTGGCCCAACGGGAACCACCAAACCCGATGGCTCCGGGCTGCTGCCCAGGGATTCCGGGCATGACGTCCCTTCCTGTTCACACAGAGGTTTACCCGGGAAGGGCACACTCGCCGTGTTCTGAAGGAACGGATGCTAAGGCAAAAGCTGCTTTGTAAATGGAAGTGTGGGGACTTTTCTATTCCCAGGTGACGATTTTGCTCTCAGAAATGATGTGTCAACTGAAAAGGAAAATTAGGAAGCAAACTGATCTGCCTGTTTAAAAACAAACACGGGGAAAGATAGTTTGGGGCTTGTTTTGAATTCATTTGGTTACCACCTCACTCCAGTGAGTTCCCCAAATCGACTATTATCAGTGGAGACAGAAAATCAATAACCAATAGCGACAACATTCTTTTCTGAATGGGGGGGTGGGGGGGGGGAGCTGGGAGGAGGCCCCAGGCCTCAGCCAGGGGTGAGGAGTGCTGACATCAGCACAGGTCCCCGTGGGGAGCAGAACCTCGCTCCCACCGCCAGCACAGGGGCGCCCTGCGCTCAGACACGGGCACCTGGTGGGGGGCAGAGTGTGCGCTGGGAGGAGGGAGCCGAAGAACTTCCGCTGCTGGGTGTGCAAGATGAAACGGGGGGCCTGGTGTTTTCCTGCGCCCCCGCCACAGTCAGGCATCTCGCTAGCACCTCTGCTCACCCGTCTGCACAGGCTCGGCCAGAAAGACAATGATGCCGCAGGAAGCGCGATGCAAACAGATAAACGCTGCAGGTACGAGCTGCCCACGGAGCCACCCAGGCGCAAGGGCACCCTGGGATGCCAGCCGTCCCCACCCCCACCCCCCAGAGCCTCTTGAGCTGACTCTTGGAAGAGGAGCAGGCACTCAATAAATTGTGCCAAAGGATAAATAATTAGCATAACTCGCTTTCCCCAGAGGACGGCAGAGAATCCCTGAGTTGGGTAAATAACAGTGAGATAAGAGGGGTCCAGCCAGAGAGAAAATAAGAAAACTGCTAAGCCAGCTAACAGATACGCCAGAGATGCTATCCCATAAGGATTACTTATAAAAAATCAATGTTTTAAGCAAAACAGTGATTAACCGTGTGCTTCCCTCGGCGGCGGCCCGGGGAGGCGAGCTCCGCGCTGGGCCTGCACTGCCCTTTTGTTTATCATCACCATCTCCCTCCTCCAGGGCCAAACTTGCAAAGAGCTGTGTCGGCACATTTTGTCCCGAGGAACCTCCTGACAGCCACGCGTACCTGTTTGCTGCCAAAGACAACAATCCGGGGAGGGTTAAGGAACTTCAGGCAGGCCTGGGGACCATGCCAGCACCAGGCAGGCCCTGGGACCATGCCAGCACCAGGACGCTGTGTCTGACCCCAGGCCCTGCAGGCCCCACCACCACCACCCCCGCCGAGACACCTGGCCACCCAGGCATCTGGAGGACTCGCCTTGGCACCCACCTGGGCCCTATGCATGGAGCCTCTGCCAGCGGCTGGCACGCTCACTTACTGAAACCTCCACTGGCCTCAGCAACACGGAGGGGCGGGGATGGGGGCGGGGCAGGCGGGCTCTTATAAGACCTTGGCCAGAGAGAGGTCACATTTGAATTCAATGTGCTCACAGAATGGGCACTGAGTACATTTCTTTGAAATGCTTATTTAAACTCCTGGTTGAGCGGTTTCTCTAAAATACACTCACAGAGAGATTGTTGAGAGCCCCACAGATAAACTTAGCTTCTCGTGCTACCCTGTCCCACCCGGGAGAGATTGGCCACATGTGGCTACTGAGCCCTGACCTGTGGCTCATGGCACTGGGATGTGCTCTGGGTGTAACACACACTGGGTTTCAAGAGCAAAACCAAAGAAAGGGTAAATGTCTCATTAATAATTTTATATTGATGACATGGTGAAGTGATAATGGTCTGGATATTGGGCTAAATAAATGACTAAAATGAATTTCACCTGTTTTGTTATGTCTTTTTTAAAAATATTTTTTATTGATTTCAGAGAGGAAGGGGGGGAGAGAGAGAGAGAGAGAGAGAGAGAGAGAGAGAGAAACATCAATGATGAGAGAGAATCATTGATCGGCTGCCTCCTGCACGCCCCACACTGGGATTCAAGCCCGCCACCTGGGCATGTGCCCTGACTGGAATCGAACCGTGACCTCCTGGTTTATAGGTCAATGCTCAACCACTGAGCCATGGCAGCCTGGCTTGTTATACCTTTTGAAATATGAGTACCAGAACATTTTAAATTCTACATGTGGTTCACGTCGTATCTCCTCTAGAGACTGCTGCTTTCCAACATCTGGAAACTTCCAATGAGATGAAAGTGAGGCGATAGCCCTAATATCCTAAGTCCGCTTTTATGGAATTCCAACATCTTCTTTGTCATTTCCTGGCCCCATCTCGGCACTAGTATAAAGAATCGGTATCACATCTGTGACTTAGAACTGTCACCTTGCGTGGAATTGATTCATTACGTTGTGGAATGTCACCCATAAATTCAAGGGGGGGAAAAAGATCACCAGCCATAAATTCCTCATTTTTTAAAATGATATAAGTTGTGTTGGTAAACACAGCCCTCATTTAAGTTTTTCATTATCTAGGCAGTCTCTCAATTTTAGTTGATGCCTGAATAATTTACCACTGGGTCTGGAGACACAACCAATTTTCATACAAATGGCGCCTTGAGGTACGTGTGATACAGACAAAATATAAGGCATCACCGGGAGCTGCTCGCCCGGTTCTTCTGGGGAGGGTCGCCGTCTCCCTCCTGTCCGGAGCAGCGTCTTGTGGGGATTATCTGTGAGAGCAGGTGGGTACCGCCAGCACGGAAGATGCCACTGATGTGATGCATTCAAGTGCCCACAGCTAGCACACAGCTGGCGAGTGGCAGGACCGTTTTGAACCCAGGCAGACTGGCATCAAAATCCTTCTCTCAAAGCAGAATTTTAAGCCACTTTCTGGGGGAGGCTGAGTAAGCGTTTTCCATGCGCAGCATTTTCTGACTTCTCCCAGATGGCCCGATTTCCGGCGCCTCTGGGATCCCCCCGTAGTTTTCTCTGGAACCGGAATTAAGCGCCGACATATCACAGACCACAGGGCCGAGCCCAGGCTGACCCCCACCAGCCTGAAAGGCCCCGAGGGCCTCCGGCAGCTCTGAGACTCAGACACAGCTGCATC